TTTACTGCAATTCTATTGTCTTTCTTTCCAAGTTGCAGTGAGATATATTCTTGAGTGCTAGATTTGGTTTTATAGTAACAAAATGTATTTCTTTAGTTGGATTGGCTTTACATGAGACTTTGCTTTACCTGTTTCTAGATAATTTTTACAAGTAGGAAATTGTACAGGAGGAGGTAAATGGTTAGTACATCAGGTATGTGTGTGGACCCACAACTGACATACATGTATTTGCTTATTTTTAAGTTGTGTAGTTGAGGTTGTTTACTTCATGACTTCCCTTTTTGTTAAGATATATTGAAGTATATAATTTTTACTTTTTCAGTAGGGTTGTTAATTATCCACTGAGTCCTTGTCCAGTGGATTTTTTGTTTTATTTCCTTCTATCTATTTCTTAGGAACACTTGTATCTCCCATGTTATTTCAAGAAGTGATCCTTCTTAAGTGGATTTGTGCATTATTATTTATACATTCTTATCTTTGTTAATGAATGAAATGTAATAGAACATAAGAACTATGTGTTTAACAAACTTGAAGTGTATAAAATTCTCTTCCAACACCAGAGTAATTAAGTTTTCTTTAATACCATTTTTTATGTGCATTAGGGAAATTGTCTTCAAAATGACAAAATAACTAATTAATTTGGTCAAAAAATTAATATTAAGAATGAATAAAGAATACAATCAAGTTGGTTAGACTTCTTTACTTTTTACATGATTGCACTGGCATTGTATATACATAATTTGAGTAGAAGATTTTTGACCTATTAATTTTTTATCACTATGTAGGACTTGGCTTAAACATAAGCCCTTCCCTTGGCATCAGCTATAAGCAAATTTTCAGTGATATGTAAAGATGTATCTATAAAATATGTCTAGTGGCATTTTCTTACCAGTTAGCAGCTCTTAAAATAACCTCCAAACACCTATTACATAAAGAGAGATTGGTTTGGTAGTATAGATTAGTAGAAAAGTTATCACAAGGTTAAGAATAAAAGTTTTCGGTGGATACAAGTACCTTGGTTCTTAACTGGAAAATTGTGTGAACAGATTTTCAGTAAGCCATCAGTTGAATTTCATAAAATATATTGGGTGTAGCTTAGAATGTTTAATTTCAGACATCATCAGTGGTAATCAGATATGGGTTTCAGAAAACAATTTATTCCATTTCAGTGGAATTTCCATTTTACTAGCTGTAATCTCAGATATGTAAATGGTAGCCAAAGCTGGATATGATGCTTCAGTTAAGATTTTTTTTTTTTTTTTTTTTTTTTTTTTTTTTTTTTTTTTTTTTTTTTTTTTTTGCCCATTGTTTCTTCTAGCATCTTCTTGCCAAATCCTCTGGAGCGCTTGTAATTTCCTCTGTACAGAGCCCAACAGGCTCATCAGCAGCAGAAGGTAAACATAATAGATGTGAGGAATTTCTGGAGATTTATGAGGTTTAGTTATTTTGAAATGTACACTCTGTCTGGCTATGCTAGTCCACAACCACATGTGGACTCTATGAATTGAAAATGTTATAAATGGGCCATCACTTCTTGTTAGAAATAAAAGATGTTTTCTGTGAGGATATTTGAAGATTATACTGCTATTTTAAGGTAGTCATGTAGTAGAGATAAAAAAATTAAAGAATACTTTCAACCTTACAATTTTTAGTTTTGGAATTTGATATGGATCCATTTTCCTTTGATTAGAATATGGATTTTTTAATCTTTCTGTACCTTCATATAGCTCTTTAGTTCCACTTATAATATGGAATAATAGTTGCATATCTGTGCAAAATATTCCAGTTGTATCAGAGAAGTTCTAATGAAGACTACTGACACTGGTGACATTTGACATGATATACTGCCAAAAAGGAAATTTAAAAGTACAGGCCATTATCCTGAAGATGATCTGTTTATGAAAAGAGTTAATTTTACATCACCTTTATTGAGCGGAAAAATGACCCTGATAAAGGACATAATATTCTTCTCTCTTGATCAGGATACTTTTATTGCTTGTAAAAATAACTTTTTATCTTTCTCAAGAACTCTATTGATATTAACTAATCAGCTTAGTGCTCTAAATATTCCAAGCTCTAGAGTGTAAGTTGCTCTTCCATGACAGGCATTTCTCTTCATTTGTCTTTTACATATAACTTGCTAACAGAGGCTAGTTCATTGTTAGGAGAGGCACAAGAAAGGCTTCTTCCTCCCACTGTTGTTTGTGAGTAAGGTTGCCTGATGGAAGTGCTTATAATCATAGATGCAGTTTGGTCATAGCCTCATGAAATGCCATCACTTTCAAAGACTTGCAGAAATGATAGTGTGGATCTTGTGAGATAATTATTACCAAGAACATCACTTTAATCTGAATCATCTTCCATAGAGTGCTAGTAAGAGAGAAAAAGTCTTTTATAAAAGGCATGTTTTAATGAAAGCTTCTTTGACTTTGGATATGAGCAGCACTTAAAGTGTCGTTGCACAATGCATTTAAAATAAAAAAAATACTTTACATGGTGG